GCAGCGCCGCGGCGGCGCTCCCACGACGGTGGAAGCGCGTGGTAGGATCCGTCCAGGAGCCAGCCGAGAAGCTCGTAGGCCTCGGGCGACGGCAGCACCGACGGGTCCATGTAGTGAAGCTCGCGTGTCCGGCCATTCTGAGACCAGCCGCCGAGCCAGTTGCCCCGAAAGCGGGGCACTCGGATGCCCTCCGCGGCGCTCGAGCCGCCAGAGCGCAGCGAGTGGCCGAGGTAGACGATGATGCTGGCGCTGGGTCCCCTTTGGGTGCATCGTGACAGCTGACGACGGGATTACCACTGGGTCCTCCTCGAGATCGTCTTCCCCGGCTTCCCCCCGTTCGGCTCTACGTTCAGCACGTTCAGCGTGGCTCACCCTCCATGCCGTGAACAGGCGCTTTATCCACCCTATATTCTTCTCTCGTTCCTCTGCCCTTGCCTTGGTCTTGTCGTTGTTTCGCATCCATGTCAGTATGGCGATCGAGGCTGCCTTCCCCACTACCTGTAGTTCACTCGTCACCTCTCCTGCGAGCTCCCCTCTCTTTCTTTCGGGTATGGAGTCCGTGCGGGTAGCGTGCAGGCAATCACGGGCGCTATTTTGTCGTACTCCTCTTCGGCGACCGCTCTGAATCTAGAGCCCATTGCCTTTAAGGAGGCTGCCCTCGCGCGTCTCAGGAATGTGGCGGTGTCTTTTGAGTCAGGCGCCTCCCGTTCGACTCTTGCTGTCGCCCTCGCCGTGTGTTTGTCGAGCTTCCGCATGAAGAGGCGCGCCTCTTCCTTGTTCCCAGCGCAGTTGCCGCTCAGTATGTGCGCCAACGACGCCTGTGGTGGCTCACTGTCTTCTCGTGTCCAGTCGTCCCAGTCTCTCCGTTCTCCGATTCTCCTCCTTGCCTCGCGTGCCTCTTTTGCGACCGCATCCCTAGCCGCCTTGCACGCTCTGCATCCCCAGAACGCACTTCTCGTGGCGGGGCCCCTCATTCCCCGTTTCGTTTCCCCCCCTAGAATACGCCTGTGGTGTGCCCCATGTGGCACCCCGACCTGTTGTCTCACCCTGGCTCCCAAGATCGTTTTGGTCGTCACATTGTGACCCCCGACGTCGTCAAATGTCGCTCGCCTGTCCTTCCCCCCGTTCTCGTCTGGTAATCTCATCTTATTGTCCCATGTGAGGCTGGCTACGGCCACTTCGCTCCACAGCCGTCCCGCCACCCCTGCCGTGTGTGATCCCGGCCTCACCGTCTTTCGAAATTGTTTGCACACCCACTCGTGCGCGCTCTGACACATGTGCCCGTACGTCCGTCGGTCCACTATCTCCCTCTTCTCTGTGTCCTCTGCCGCCTCCCTTCTCGCCGTGTACATGCATGGTCTAGTTCGTACCGCGTCCCGCACCACTTTCGAGGCGTCCTCCGTGTCGTTTTCCCAGGTATGCTGTCGCCACTGCGTCGGCGTATGCGTTGCAGGCTATTCCCACGTGCGATGGCACCCACACAAAGACCACCGCCTCTAGCTTCGATCTATAGTACGCAATCGCCTCTCTCCTAGTCCCTCAGTCCTTCTGTGAGTGAGTATTGTGTGCACACACACACACACACACAGTCCTTCTGGCATCCCTGCGGTGCGCATTCTCAATCTGCAGCGCGGGTTTGCAGTCGCATAGTACTAGGCACCGTCGCGCCTGCGCGTCGCTCGCGCTCGACCTTTTGCGTAGGTATGCGAGTATCGCGTACATCTCCGAGTCTATACCGGGCACCAAAAATTCTTTAAATCGCACGAGATTGCAGGCGCCTCGTTTTGCTCGCCTCGCCCTCGCCCGGAGCGGCGCAGCGAGAGATGAGAGCTGCCCCCGCGCGTGCCCTCTCGCCTCTCGCCCCACAACCACCACTGCAGCGCGTGCGAGCGCGTGCATGGCTGCACGCCGTGCTGCGACCGCCGCCCGAGCGGCTCGCGAATCTGGCACAATCGGATTGCCGGTCTGAGCGCTGCTGGGCGCGCGGCCGCGGGTCGCCTCCGTGCCTACTGCGCCCCCGCGACCCCCAAAACAAGCCCGCGCCGTGCTCATCCCATTTTATGCTGCTGACGCTCGCGCCCGCCGCCGCCTGCGCCCTCGCAGATCCAAAACAACGTGGGCGAGGCGGGTGTGCCGCGGTGTCCTTGGTGCTGGGCCTCAAGCTGCGTGCGCTGCGAGTAGGTGCGGCACTTCTCTAACCCCCTACTGCGAACGGCGCCTTCTCTTGACCGCCAGCCCTCCAAACACCGGAATATGGTTTCGTACCTCGATCGAGTGCCCGCGGGGTGGCTGCTATTGCCGCCGCCAGAGCCGCCGCCCTCGCCGCCCTCGCCGCCCCCACCGTCCTCGCCGCCTCCACCCTCGCCTCCACCCTCGCCGCCTCCACCCTCGCCGCCCCCCACGCCGCCGCCACCATCGCAGCCCCCGACGCCGCCCCCGCCCTCAGCCCCGCCCCCGCCGCCCTCACCACCGCCGCCCTCGTCGCCGCCCTCGCCGCCGCCGCCCTCACACCCGCCGCTGCTGCCGCCTCCGTCGCTGCCACCCTCGCCGCCGCCGCCCTCGCCTCCAGCCGCGCCGCCCCCGTCACCGCCGCCCTCGTCGCCGCCCCCGCCGCCGCCGCCTTCACACCCGCCGCTGCTGCCGCCTCCGTCGCTGCCACCCTCGCCGCCGCCGCCCTCGCCTCCAGCCGCACCGCCCCCGTCACCGCCGACCTCGCCGCCGCCGCCCTCATCTCCACCCTCGCCGCCACCGCCCTCGCCGCCACCGCCCTCGCCGCCGCCGCCCTCGCCGCCGCCGCCATCGCCGCCGCAGCCATCCCCGCCGCCGCCCTCGCCGCCGCCTCCGCTTCCGCCTCTGTCGCCCTCGCCTTCCCCGCCACCACCTCCTGCACCGCCGCCTCCGCCGCCGCCGCCGCCGCCGCCGCCGTCGCCGCCAGGGGTGACAAAGCCAAACCCACCGCCGCCGATGCCGCCCTGGCCGCCGGGGCAGCAGCCAGAGCCTCCCCACCCCCCGCTACCGCCGCCGTCATTGCCACCGTCCCCGCCGCCGCCTCTCTCGCCTCCAGCAACGCCGCCGCCGCCGCCGCCGCCGCCTCTCTCGCCTCCAGCAACGCCGCCGCCGCCGTCGCCGCCGCCTCTCTCGCCTCCAGCAGCGCCGCCGCCGCCGCCGCCGCCGCCTCTCTCGCCTCCAGCAACGCCGCCGCCGCCGCCGCCGCCGCCTCTCTCGCCTCCAGCAACGCCGCCGCCGCCGTCGCCGCCGCCTCTCTCGCCTCCAGCAGCGCCGCCGCCGCCGCCGCCGCCGCCTCTCTCGCCTCCAACAACGCCGCCGCCGCCGCCGCCGCCGAAGCCGCCGCCGACGCCGCCGTCGCCGCCGCCTCTCTCGCCTCCAGCAACGCCGCCGACGCCGCCACCGACGCCGCCGCCGCCGCCACCAAAGCCGCCGTCGCCGCCGCCGCCGACGCCGCCGCCGCCGCCGACGACGCCGCCGCCGCTCGCCCCACCCCCACCCTTCTACGCCGACTTCGTCGAGAAGCTCGACGAGACAGTGCAGACGGGGTACGCCATCCTCGCCAATCCCCCGGTGGAGTTGGCGCTGGGAGCAGCCGGGTTGCTCTTCCTGGCGCTCTGCTTCTCCCGCTGCTGCTGCCGGCGGCGCGAGCCGCCTCACAAGCGGCTCGTGGAGCCCGACGAGGAGGAGGCGGGGGGCGGCAAGCCGAGTCCGCGGCGGCCGAAGCGCCGCTCAGATGCCATGCCGTTCTTGCACGCAAACCGGTCCGCAGCGGAGCTGAAGCTGGCGGAGCAGGTGGCGGAGCTGGAGCGGCACCTCGCCGTGAGCAAGGCCACAAGGCCGGAAGTAGCATCACTCGTTCAGATGGCGCGGGCCGCGAGGTCTGAGCGGGAGTCGTGACACTGACAGACAGAGGCGCCCCCTTCGTGACGCCCGCTTCCTTAGTTAGGCCGCGTCCCTCCCCTGTCCTCTCGACTGCATTCCTCTTTTACACACATAAACCCGTCGGTCGGTGTATAAAGGCCGTGGACCCTGAGTTCGACAGGGGTTGTGCGCCAAGCCCTCCTGCTCGGCTCCACGCTCCAGCGAGTACGGCTTTACCGTTTACGGTAGACAAGTGTTACCATCAACAGAGGAGAAGGATATGACCTCAGGGCTGATGTGACCAAGCGCTGTGGTAGCGTGGTTTTACCTCACACCCATGGTCTCACAGTGTGCCGGCAGTCGCCGCGCAGTGTCGCTCACACAAGCCGCAGCACAAGTGACTGAGGGCCAGTGAGGGCGAGCCCATCGCTGTGACAGCTGTGGCAGCCGCACAGTGCCCTCAGTGGGCTGTGGAGGAAATTTTGGTGAGACGTCTCTGTCTCACGGGTGTTTCGTCCCTGTCTCACTTGCATGATTTTTTCCGTCTCTCTGCGTCTCTCCAAGCGTCTCTCTGCTGTCACAGTGCTGAGTGTCAGTGTCGCCGGTGCGTCTCAGATGCGTCTCACATGCGTCTCACATTCGTCTCTTTCGGCCGCGTATCACTCAGTCTCACGGCTGGGCTGAGACGTCACAATTCCTGAGCGAAGTGAGTCGTCTCACTTCCGTCTGAGACAGTGCTGAGCCACAATGAGACGTGGCGCAGGGCGGGGTTTGCGACGACGAACCCCAAGCATAATCGCGCTCTCTGGCTCAAACGGCGCGTAGCCGCCGGTTGCTCTATCGCGCTCTCAGACGCAAACGGCGGGCGTAGCCGGTTGCTCTCGCGGGCAGGGCGGTTCGGGTTAGTGCCCAGCACTACGCTCTCGCCCTCTGTTCGTCGCGGCTACGCCCTCGGCTTGATGAGTACTTTGCCGTGCGATTCGAGCAGTTATTATGACTCAGCACGCAACCGGAGACCGGTTTGGTTTCTTATCTCAGTACTCGCCGACCTGGTACAGGTGCTGCTTCGCGCACGGGTGGATCGTCGCCGCGCTCAGCTGCTCCACCGTCCGCTTGCTCGCCGCCGCGCTCGCCTGCGCGCTCGCCAGCCGCTGCTGGTGCGCGCTCTTCCCGCGCGCGGCGCTCTCGGCTGCCGCGGCTCGCCCCGCCGCCTTCCCCGCCTCCTCCGCCAGCATCTTCATCCCGCTGCCGCCGCCCTCGAACAAGGACATGACCTGGTCCCTCACCGACTTCCAGTACTGCCTCGCCTCCGACGTGCCGGCCGCTGGCATCGCGGGCCACAGCTCGCACCAGAGGTGGTTCTTCATGTGTTTGAGGGCGACCTCCACCGACTTCTCGCCGCGTCCGGTGCGCACCATCGCCTCGTCCCGCCGCGCGACACTCTCGACGGGAAAGTGCCAGCGGCTTGCCCTCGACGGCAGGACGCGCGTCGTCGCCAGCCACTGGCCGAACCGGATCGTCCAGCGAATGGTGGGGTGCGTGCCGCGCGAGGTCCGCAACATGGGCACGTCCTTGCCCTTCTTCGCCTGCTGGGCGAGAAAGTCGCGCAGCCGGCGTCTCACGTTCACCAGTTGCCTCGACAGGCTCGGATCGTGCGGCCTCAGCAAAGGCTGATCGTCCGCCCGCATGGCCTCCTCCTGCCGCTCGTCGTCCATCTCGTCGAGCAGGTCGGCCAGTTCGCTATGCTGCGCGGTCGCCGCGCGGCGATGCGCGCCCGCTCGCGTCCCCGCGGCGACCGCGTCCTCCTCGCCGCCGCTCTCCTCGCCGCCGCCCTCCTCGCCGCCGCTCTCCTCGCCCTCTGTGGAGGCCGCCGCATTCGTGCCGTCGGCTGGCGTCGGCATCGCGGTCGCGCGCCGCCACTGCTCGTCGTCAAGCATGTGCCAGTACTGCTCGCCCTGGTAGCCGTCGTATTCGACCTCGTGCACGAGCCGGCCGTCCACGTCCTCCTCCCGCCCCGCGATGGTGGCCGGCCACCACAAGCCTTGCTCGCCCAGGATCTCGACGTGCGTTCCCGTCTCCACGATGGTGTGCCCCGCCTGCTTCGCCGTCTCGTCCACCCGCAGCCGCTCCCGCCGCTCCCTCTGGCCCTCCCTCGCCGTCGGAAGGGCGTAGTTCGGGCCGCTCTCCTCCACGCCGGCCAGCACGTCCGCGGCGCTCACCGCCTCGACGTCCGTCGCCTCCTCCGCCGCCGGCTCGGTCGAGCAGCCCGCCGCCTCCCGTCGTCGGCGCTGCCGCTCGCGCTCGTGGTGTGCTGCTCGGCGCTCGACGCCGCCGCCCTCGTGCACGCACGCCGCCTGCGGTGCCATCCCGCCGCAGGGCGAAGGCCAAGCGCAAATTTGCCAAACTCCGAGACAAAGCCCTTCGAACGCGCGAAAGCGCCGGCTTTCGAACCTCGGCCCCGCCCTCTTTCTGGCCGCGTCCCTCCCCTGTCCTCTCGACTGCACTCCTCTTTTACATACATAAATACATCCCTCCGTGAGTCGGGAACTCCTGCATGTATTAGATCTAGAATTACTTTATCCAAGTAGCAAGGTACCATCAAATAAACCATAACTGATTTAATGAGCCATTCGCTATTCGCACCGACCGCTCCGAGGTGAGGCGTGTCGGACGATCCCAACATAATCGCGCTCATATCGCGCTCCCTGGCCCAAACGGCGCGTAGCCGGTTGCTCTCGTGGGCAGGGCGGTTTGGGCTAGTGCACAGCAGTACGCTCTCGCCCTCTGTTCGTCGCGGCTACGCCCTCAGCTTGATGGGTACTTAAAGCACGCATCGCCCCAGCAGTGCGCAGCCGTGGCCCGCGCCGCAACGCCGCCGCCGACATCGCCGCCGGCGCCGCCTGTGCCAACGCCACCGCTGCCCTCCCCACACGAGCACCCACCTCGCCGGCTCGCCGCCACCCATGCTGTCGCCGCCCTCACCCCTCTGCCGACCGCGCTACAACTGGCTAGCAAAGACGCAGCCTATAATCTCGACTCTCCCGCCAATGTCTCACGATTGCGTCTCACGTTGGCTCATGGCATGGTAAGATGGGGGGGGGGGGGGACAGGGCTCCAGGCCCCAAATTACGTGTGAGTGTTAGAGTTGTTGTTAAGATGGTATCTGACAACGCGCGACTATGAGGCAGCGGCTTGTGGCGTCTCACACCCGTTCTGCGCCGTGTCTCATTGTGGCTCAGCACAGTCTCAGAAGCAAGTGAGACGAGTCGCTTGGCGCAGCAACTATGCCGTTGTGAGACCGAGTGAGACGAGGAATGCCGCTTGTTCACCGTGAGACGAGTGTGAGACGCTCTGAGAGGAAATGACGAGACGTAGTAGAGACGACATTGTCACACAGCAGAGGTGCACATTTGTCTCACTGGTGTCTCAAATCAGCCTCTCCGCCGACCTGCGAGATTCACACGTCATTCTCTACGAACGGCGCCTTCTCTTGACCGCCATCCCTCCCCGGGAAATGGTCTGGCACGGGAAATGGTTTGGTACCTCGGGCGAGCTGGCGCGTGTGTAGACCGCTCCGGCGGCCCTGGGAAGTACGCCTCCGCGTCGACGTCCAACAGCCTCTCCTACGCAGAGATTCACGACACTTGCCGCCGGTCCTGCGACGTCGACGCTTTCTGCGTCGGCTACAGCGTTTACGCTCCGCTCGTCGGAGGTCAGGTCGAGTGCAAGACCTATAAGGCGCAAACCTCGGTGGACATGATTGCGGGCGCAGCGCCCTCGAGCGGCACGACGTGCTACGAAAAAATATATTCACCCGCGCCGTCGCCTCCGCCGCCGCCGCTCCCGCCACTTCCCCCGCCGTGTGCCTTCCCCGACGCGCAGTGCCTTGGCCAGACCTGCGGAGACTGGATCGGCACCTCCTGCACCAGCCCCTCCCTCCAGGGACTCTGGGCCGGCCACACCTGCCCGCATTGCCGCGGCTGCTGCTCCGTGCCGCCGCCGCCTTCCCCTCCCGCGGCCCCCCCCTCGCCAGCGACCCCGCCACAGCCGCCGCCGACGCCGCCACCGACGCCGCCCCCTTCGACGCCGCCGCCGCTCGCCCCACCCCCACCCTTCTACGCCGACTTCGTCGACAAGCTCGACGGGACGGTGCGGACGGGGTACGAGACCGTGGCGCCCGTCGTCAAGGAGCTGGGTGGGGAGTTGGACGCGCTGCTCCCTGATCGGTGGGCCCAGAAGGCCGCCGAACACGGGAGCGCGGTGCGCGAGTGGAGCCTGCGCCCCCTCGGCGACTCGCTAAAGCTAAACTTGGACGACCGGAACCGGACATCCACTCCGAGTGCTCTCCCCCCCCTCCTTCGCGATCACGTGGTAAAGGCGGGCCGAGCCATCCTCGCCAATTCCCCGCTGAAGTTGGCGCTGGGAGCAGCCGGGTTGCTCTTCCTAGCGCTCTGCTTCTACCGCTGCTGCTGCCGGCGGCGCGAGCCGCCTCACAAGCGGCTCGTGGAGCCCGACGAGGAGGAGGCGCGGGGCGGCATGCCAAGTCCGCGGCCGAAGCGCCGCTCCGATGCCCTTCATCGGCCGCAGGAGCTGGCGGAGCAGTTGGCGGAGCTGAAGCTTAGGATGAAGGAGGTGGGGGAGCTGGAGCGGCGCCTCTCCGTGAGCAAGGCCACAAGGCCGGAAGTAGCACCACTCGCTCATGTGGCGCGGGCCGCGAGGTCTGAGCGGGAGAGGCTCGACGTTGGGGCACCGACTGGCCCACAACGCGGTGAACCAGGCGCGCAGCGCGGGTCGCCACCGAGTGGCTGCCGGTTCGAGATTCCTCCTTTCCGCTCCCCCCCCGCAAGGCGCGACACACACACGACTGCCTGATTAATGAGGTGGTGCGGCGTTCTGCGAATCTTGCTCTGGAGCATAGAATGCCAGGAGCTGGAACCCGCGCGACTTTGGCCTTTGTTTGCGCGTGGGGAAACACGGCGCGAAGCCAACGCTACAGTATCGGCTCGTGGAGCTCGAGGCTCACGGTCGAGGGCTGGATGGAGGACGTTGGGCGTCGTGAGAACTGAAAAAGGGGGGCGGGGGGTCTGGCGAGTGGCGTGGATATCGATATCGGATATGGAGGAGTTCACTTTTGTATTGCATGTGCATGTGACATGTTGTGCATGCTTGGACAAGCTAAGAATAGGCTCACCCGAGAATACAGTAGGCTGCAGAGAGAACTTGCCGCGCGGCGGGCGTCTCTGCCGTACCCGACGCTTCTATGTCCGCGCGGGCGAGAGTGGTCTATGGTCTATGGAGAGC